GGCAACTAAAGCGAATCAAGGAGTTGAATGCTTCATATCTAGGTCTCCAATAGCCCTTACCTTACCCATATGGTGAGGATGGATATCGAGAGGATGTTCCTTTGAGGTATTCAAACATGACTCCTTCGACTAGAAGAAAAAAGATAACAATGAGAGAGTTTTTTTCGTACAGATTGCAGGAAAGGGAATCTGAATCTTCGAATATTTTGTGTGCAAGAAGGTTGTTCCAGCAATTTTTAGTTGATGCATATACAATGGTTGAATCTTCGCGTCTATCATACGTACGTGCTCATCAGAAAGAGTTGAGATCTGATATGTATAAAGGATTGACCGAAGCAATTCTAAGAGGGGAAACTGATCCTTCTTCTCAAGGAAAGCGTGTGATTTTGCCTTCATCTTTCACTGGTGGAGCACGATACATGGTCCAGAATTATCAAGATGCAATGACAATTTGCAAGTGGGCTGGATATCCCGACTTATTCATTACATTTACATGCAATCCCAAATGGCCAGAGATTGTGCGTTTCGTCGAAAGTAGATGTTTGAAACCCGAAGATCGCCCAGATATTCTTTGTAGAATATTCAAAGTGAAATTAGATCATTTGTTGAGAGATCTTAGAGTAAACAAGATTTTTGGAAGAGTCAAAGCAGGTACTTTGCAAAATCCATAAATTTTTTTTCCATATTTCAATAAATTAATTCCTATTTAATAATATTCATTAATAAGTAATGGTAATATAAAATTTTCATCATACTGCAGTTATATATACAGTCGAGTTCCAAAAACGCGGTTTGCCACATGCACATATTTTGCTTTTCCTGTATCAAGAAGACAAATATCCCTCTGGTGAAGATATTGACAAGATCATCTCATCTGAAATTCCTTCTGAAGCTACTGATCCTGTGTACTACAATGCAGTAAAAAATTTGATGATGCATGGGCCTTGCGGCAACGTTAATAAAAATTCTCCATGTATGTTGGATGGAAGGTGCTCAAAGCATTTTCCGAAAAAGTACACAGAATGTACTATTGTTGACGAAGACGGGTATCCAACTTACCGGCGGAGGGATGACGGTAGAACAATAAAAAAGAATGGGATTGACTTGGATAATAGATATGTGGTGCCACACAACCGCTTCTTGCTTCTGAAATACGGTGCTCATATTAATGTTGAATGGTGTAACCAGTCCCGGTCTATAAAGTATCTCTTCAAATATGTCAACAAAGGACATGATCGTGTTACTGCAGCGTTTTATCGAAGTAGCGAAGATAATGATGTGCAAAGTCCGGTTGACGAAATAAATATGTACTACGATTGCCGGTACATCTCACCATGTGAAGCTGCTTGGAGAATATTTGGTTTTGATATTCATTACAGAGATCCTCCAGTTGAAAGATTGCATTTTCATCTTCCACACGAGCAGAATGTTATATTCTCAGATCATGATGCAATAGATGATGTCATCAGTAGGCCGACGGTAAATTCGTCAATGTTTTCAGCTTGGATGGAAGCCAACCGTAAGTATCCAGAAGCAAGATCTTTAACATATGCAGAGTTCCCCACTAAATTTGTGTGGAAGTCTCCATTGAGGGAATGGCATCCACGAAGGCGTGGATTCTCAATTGGACGAATTTTTTATGTGCCTCCTGGATCTGGTGAACAATATTATTTGAGAATTTTACTTAACATAGTTAAAGGACCAAGAAGTTATGAAGAGATAAAATGCATAAATGGTGATCAATATAATTCGTTTAGAGATGCTTGCTACGCTCTTGGTTTATTGGATGATGACAAAGAGTATGTGGATGGGATTGTTGAAGCAAGCCACTGGGGATCTTCAAACTGTTTGAGAATTCTGTTTGCGACTTTGTTATGTTCGGGTTCTCTTTCAAGGCCTGAATTCGTATGGGAAGAGTGCTGGCGGTACTTATCAGATGACATTCTGTATAGACAACGCACCATTTTGCAACATGAAGGTATTCAAATCCTACTTCATTTCTTATATAAAAAATAAATAAACAATTACTACATTTACATGTTATGTCATTTTTTTAATTGTACTTCTTTATATGTTGTACCGTACAGATTTACAACTCAATGACGATGAATTAAAGGATTATACACTTGCTGAGATTGAAAAAATTTTGCGTAGTACTAGCAAAAGTTTACGTGATTTTCCGACGATGCCCTTCCCATTGATGGTTGATCTTTCGGTTCGCCAAAACAGGCTAATTCAAGATGAGTTGCGTTATGACAGAGATGTCTTAGTTGACGAACATAATAGATTTTTATCGAATCTAACAGATGAGCAACGGAACGTCTATGAAACAATAATGCATGCAGTTGATAATGGTAAAGGTGGAGTATTCTTTCTTTATGGGTATGGAGGTACAGGAAAAACATTTGTATGGAAAACACTATCTGCAGCAATACGATCGAGGGGACAGATTGTACTAACAGTTGCATCAAGTGGTATAGCATCTCTTCTTTTACCAGGTGGTAGAACAGCTCACTCCAGATTTGCCATTCCTCTTATTCCCACCGAAGACTCAACCTGCAACATTAAACAAGGCAGTCCTCTTGCAGAGCTAATCATCAAAACTGATCTTATCATTTGGGATGAAGCTCCTATGATGAATAAGTATTGTTTTGAAGCTCTAGACAAGACTATGCGAGATATATTAAGATTTAGCAATCCATTGAGTTTGACACAAACATTCGGAGGTAAAACCATTGTTTTTGGAGGAGATTTCAGACAAATATTACCTGTCATTCCAAAGGGTACCAGGCAAGATATCGTTCTTGCAACTATTAATTCTTCCTACTTATGGCAACATTGCAAAGTTTTGAAATTGACTAAGAACATGAGGCTCCAAAGTCCAAACTCAAACATTGATCTACGAGAGTTAAAGGCGGTTTTAGACTGGATTTCAAATATTGGAGATGGTACAATTGGTGGGCCAAAGGATGGGCATGTTTCGATTGAAATACCCGATGATTTACTGATAAAAGACAAAGAAGATTTAGTTGAATCAATAGTGGATAGTACATATCCAAATTTATCAGAAAGAGTCGGCGATCCTTCATATTTGCAAGAAAGAGCCATCTTGGCTCCAACACTGGATGTTGTTGAAACAATCAACGAGTATATGGTCTCTCTTAATGAAACAGAGGGAACAACTTATCTAAGTTCTGATACAGCTTCCAAGTCAGATTCCAATATTGATTTACTAGATGATCTACACACTCCAGAATTCTTGAATGGAATAAGATGCTAGGGTGTACCTAATCATGAGCTGAAGTTGAAGGTTGGCACTCCTGTTATGTTATTAAGAAACATTGATCACTCTGCTGGACTGTGCAATGGGACTAGATTGGTTATCACAACACTTGGAAAACATGTTTTGGAAGCTAAGGTCATTACTGGAAGAAATGCAGGACATAAAGTGTTCATTCCAAGAATGTCGTTAACTCCATCAGATTCAAGACTACCTTTTAAGCTTCAAAGAAGGCAATATCCTTGGATAGTGTCATATGCTATGACTATTAACAAAAGTCAAGACCAATCACTATCGCATGTAGGACTTTATTTGAAAAAGCCTGTTTTCAGCAGCTAAGGTCATTACTGGAAGAAATGCAGGACATAAAGTGTTCATTCCAAGAATGTCGTTAACTCCATCAGATTCTAGACTTCCTTTTAAGTTTCAGAGATGACAATATCCTTTGATAGTGTCATATGCTATGACTATTAACAAAAGTCAAGGCCAATCACTATCGCATGTAGGACTTTATTTGAAAAAGCCTGTTTTCAGTCATGGCCAACTTTATGTTGCAGTGTCCAGAGTTACAAACCGTTCAGGATTGAAAATTCTTTGTTGTGATAGAGATGGAGAACCATCCAATTCAACAACAAATGTTGTTTTCAAAGAAGTTTTTCAAAATTTGAATTAGTTATGTAGTGTATATATAGTTTAAAGTTTATTTTATGAAGTGTTTTGCATCTAATTGGATTCGAAAATGAATTCTAATAAGTTGTTCGTGTTAAAATTACAATTGCAATTATCTACTGATACCATCTACAATGCCGATCAACAATTGATATCTTTATCTCGTGGATAAATGTGAGTGGAAATGTCAAATATATGATTGTAGCCACAGTAGCCACACACCAGACGAAGTAAAACTACATGCAAGAACAACATTCGCTTTAGTTCAAGGGTTATTGATGTCTTCTAACTTATTGTCTAGCAGACATGAGTTAAGAAAACATAAAAACAAAAAAATGGAGATGAAGATTATGCCTTATATCCCTTCCAGAAACAGTGAGTAAGCATTTAAAATACTAATTACCAGAGTGTTAAACTTATAGTTCAATTTACTTTCATAGTAACGATACTAATAAGGCCTAATATTATGTTGTTTCAGGCCTAATTGTGGAGTTTTTTGTGCTGAACTACATAAAATGCTTCAAATTTAAGTGTTTTCAATTGAGAATTTCATGGATTTTAATGAAATTTATTAAAATTTAAGTTCCCCAATTTAAATTTTAATGAAATCCTTCGAAATTTACATACCTGGTAGATTTCTACAAATTTTATTAATGGATGGATTTTAAGAGATCCACCAAAATTTTAGTTGCGGACACCCCCGTAGTACCTCCAACTTAAGGCGCTGTTTGAGAGCTTCATTTTAGTTCTGATGCGGCGGAAGTAGAATTTCCAGATGAACAAGAAGAAAGCGCCGCTATGCATCAAAAATGCAATGCAATTAGTGGGACTGTTTTCAAGATTTCTTGGCTCAAAGTCAGTGAAGTTAATGTCTGTATAAATTATGTTGTTTCAGGCCTAATTGTGGAGTTTTTGTGCTTAAGTACATAGAATGCTCCATTTTAGGACGACCAATAGAATTAGTTTCCTCAGACAACATGTGTGGATACCGAAGAAAAATATTAGTCGATGTTGCTTTTAATCAATATTTCTTACATACCAGTTAAATGTTTTTAGAGTTCGTACTGATAAGTGTCCATGTAACTTATTAAATTATCCAAAGTAGTATTAATTTATAGTATGTGCATCTCACCGTGCATCGCACGGGTGAAATACTAGTATTATATAATTCAATGACATTATTCACAAGTTAGATTTATTAACAAAAAAATATTATGAGATGAGAAAGTGATAAAGTGATCGGGGTGGGGAAAAAAGCTAAAGCACAAATTTTGTCCATGTTTGGTGGAGAATAAAATCAAAATTTCAGTAGATTTTGATAAAAGTTGATAAAATATGTAATTGAAAATTTGTGGATCTCATAAAATATATTGTTAAAATTAGTTGTTGACTTTAACTTAAATTAAAATCGTGATTTTAATTTCTACTAGACAAGGGCTTAGAGAAAGCAAAATGTATTGTATAAATGGTTGAAATCATGATTTGGTTAGATAAGAGATGATGAGTGGGGTATGTTGCTAAATATTTTTTAGGATGGGTGCGAAGAATTGATTTGGACCGATGGGAAAGGTAAAGCTTTCCACTTAAATAAATTGAATTCATGACTGGGTGTGGGTGTGGGTGTGGGTGTGTGGGGTGGGGGTAAAAAGCGAATGAAAAAGTCAATACCACAAAATGCACTACCGACATGGCGACGCCATATCAACAATGTGAACTTTGTTTTCCTACCCACTGGAAATGGGAATATTTCTGATAAGATATACATATCAAACTAAAGATTTTAGCCCATATTTGATGGTCATTATTATGTAAAAATAATGTTTTGAATAATAATTTTTAGAAGAATGTGTTGTTAAAATATAGGGAAATTTTTTAAACTTATGTGCAAAATATTTTTTTGCTTAAATGTGTGGTCGAAAATGAATATGAAAAATAAATTGTTTTATTTTTAAATGAGTCAAGGAGGGGCTTCACATAACAAACGAGTTAAATACACTTATGTATTTTATTTGGGACTGGTATTTTATACTGCAATGCCCGTTTCGGGTAAGTCCTATTTAAAAACTGGTCTAGTGTTTGAATCCTATTTTCAAATGGATTGATTGGGAAGGGTCAAGTTATTGGAATATGAATGTTATACATCACTATTTACATAATACTTTACAAATAGATGATGTACCAAAAAAATTGAAAAAGATTTTTATTTTTATTCAATTGATTAATTAGGGATGTCAATTGGGCTCGAGGGATTAGCCCCAAAAAGCTCGAGCCTCATTTTTTGGGCGTTGGCCCAAGCTTGTGTGGGCACATGTAGCTCAATCGGCCCGTGACGTGGTATATGGACATGGGTCATTTTGGCCCGTGTCTTTTAGCTATGGTTGCCTGCATAGCTAAAAGGCAACTAGTTGCTATAGTTGTCTGCTTGCACGCAGCGACCTGTAAGCAGCTTTTAAAAGAAATGATTGAAAAAAACTTTCAAATTTCTTGAATAATAAATAAATAAAGAGTTGGCTCAGAAGCCTGTGACTATGCTCAGCAAAGCTTGAGTTGAGCCTTGGTTTTTCGATCAAGCTTTGGCTCGACTTGACTCGACCCAGGTCAAAAAAGTTTGAATCGTTTTTTACTCGAGCCTTGATCGAGCTGTGATTTTTGACTCACAAGTCGGCTCGACTCGTTTACATTCCTACGATTGATTGATTAGATTTGGATCCAATTAAGGTAGTGTCCTCAATTGTAATTGTGATGGATTTCAAAATTCCTTCTAAATTTAGTTGTTCCTAATTGAGATTTTAATAAAATTCAATTAAATCCTTTAAAATTTAGGCATCCTTAATAATTAGTAGATTTATAAAGATTTCTTTGAAAGATGAATTTTAAAATATTTGTATGAATTTCAAATTTAAAAATACATATAACTTTCAAATTTTACCATATTTGATGAGATTTTTGAAAATTTATTCAAATCCGTGAAATTGATTAGAATTTATACTATTTTAAATTTCATTAAAATCTTAGGCCGAGAATACTCGTGTATTTGTTGATAAATAAATTTATAAAAGGTAACTGTATATTCGTAGAATTGCGTGTCGATCTGAATTCTTGCCGCTCACGTTTTTCGACACGCAACACATTACGACTCCCCTAATCCCTAACAATATTTCTAAAACCCATCTCCTCCCTCTTCCAAAACCCATAATTTTTTTCACTCTACTTCAATTCACACCACAGGCAAAAATATTGTCCCCAAATTTGGTGAAAATTCACAACAAAGAAAATGAATATCGTGAAATTGAATTCTCTAAACAAGTTTAGGGCCGTGAAAAGGCTTCTTTCTCAGTCGCCGATTAGCGACGCCGGCTTGCAACGTCAGCTTTCTGTCCCGTTCTCCACCTCCGGTCGCCACATCCGCCATCCTCACGATCCTAGCACCCGGTAACTTTAAATTATTTTAATAATTCTGTTACACATTTTTCTACTACGTGCTTTTTGCAATTTTTTTCTCATAGTATTGCAGTTTTTGCTAATGGGTTTTAGTTAAAATTGGTTTTGTCGTGTGCCATATTAAAGTAATAGTTGTAATTTGTACTGATTTTATGTGCTTCAGTGTTCTACTCTTTATGATGATATACCAAAAATTACTGATTATAATCAGTCTGTAATGATTGATAATATGATTTTTGGTGTAGTTATGAAATTACACCACCTGTGAATTGGGGAATCCGAGTAGTGCCTGAGAAGAAGGCATTTATAATTGAGAGATTTGGGAAGTATGCGAAGACGTTAACACCTGGAATCCATCTTCTAGTTCCAATGGTCGATAGAATTGCTTACGTGCATTCCCTGAAAGAAGAAGCTATTCCTATTCCTGATCAATCTGCTATTACCAAGGACAATGTCAGTATTCAGATTGATGGTGTCTTATACGTGAAGGTGTGCAATTTTGAGTTAATTTAATTTGTTGGCATGGTCTTGACGTGAAGCTATCGATATGAACTTCTATCATGACCGGCTTCTGCTGCAGATTATGGACCCAAAGTTGGCTTCATATGGAGTTGAGGATCCGTTGTATGCTGTTATTCAGCTCGCTCAGACAACTATGCGAAGTGAACTTGGCAAAATCACTCTTGACAAGACTTTCGAGGAAAGAGACACTCTCAATGAGAAGATAGTGGTGAGATTTCAGTTAATTATAGTCGAATTCTTCATTGTTGGTTATCCAATTAAGGCATTCAATAGGATAAGTTGGACATTGCTTTAATTTGGTCTCTCGTGTGTTTTACACTTTACATTCAATTTTGTTATTTTAATTTGGTATCTCACGTGTTTTACTCGACACAATTTACATTCAATTTTGTTACAAATATGATCTACTCTTTGAACGTTTCTTTTCTCTAGTCTAACACTCGGTCAGGCTATTAGGTAACCAATGTTTTTCTCTTAACAGAAATTTTCTATCATGCGAAGTAAAATCTTAAGATAAATTAAGCATGTCATCATATAGAACTCTTACAAGCAAAGCATTATATCTATGTCGTAAGTGCGTAGAAGGATCGTGCTTGTTGGAGGGAATGCTAAAAAAATGAAAAAGAAGCACTGTTGAATGCCCATTATGCTACTTTAGCAGCACTTTTCTGGTTTCTTGTTGCTCTTTATATGAGCGTTAGTAGACATAGAAGAAGCAGGTGAGGCGTCATTCATAATGAAAAGAAGATTGTTGACCAGTTGAGATCTTAATGAGTGATTAAACTTATAACGTGGAATGATGGGGTAATGCGTGTAATTTTGTGAGATAATATTCGCTTGCAGTGGGCATAGAAGGTAATATTCTAATATGCTGACGAGAATGATTTTCCATTGGGCATTAGAATATAAAGTTACTGTTATGGTTCTTTGGATATTGTGTTGAAAGAGTAGCTAATACTTTTATATAGTTGAAAATGTGTATAAAGATCAAATGATATTCCAAGAAAACCTCAATATAACACCAATAACTTGTGATCAAAGTTAACTTAATTATTTTATTAGAGTTAGGCGTGGTTATTGGTGCTAAGAAGACAGTGTAGTTGTAGTAGATATTAAAACAGAGGTTAAAAAATGTTGTGTCAATAAGGCTGTCCACAACACCACTCTCGGTCACGCTCTCGTTCAAGTGCAAATTCTACAGAACATATTGAAATGCAAATGCATATACAAACTTATATTATTCAATTGAGCAAATTGTATCAATTGCGTTAAACTTTGACTTAATAAAGAGCCTTGTACATATGTTTTTTGTGAACATAAGAATATGAATGATTGTGTTTGATTGCAAGATATTAATTATAATTATTTTTGTACTTTTGCTTTGAATGTGAAAGTAACAACTGATTAACAACTGACTGCTTTTTGCTTAGCATATGAGCATTCATATCTCATTTCCCAGATTTTGGAACTGCGCTGTATTTTTTTGTTGTCATTTTTTGATGTTCACTTTGTGTTGAAAGTTGTTTGCAAATTACTTATTTTCCAGTTAATCTTTCTTCTTCTATTAGTGTTGGATCGACTGCTCAAAATTGTTTTTGTTTCAGATTTCCATCAATGAAGCTGCAAAGGATTGGGGCTTGAAATGTCTTCGTTACGAAATAAGTGGGTGATGTCTTTGCTTGGAGATATTTCTTAGCTTGGTTTAGGAAATCCTTGTGCATATATGTTGCAACCATGTTGCACCTACGTTTGCACCCTGGATATTTCCCAGTTTTGGGAGGAGCCAATCAAAAAATTTCATTATATCCTTTGTATACTTTCTATATCGTTTGATACTCAGTAAGAATGAAAAAGCGACAGAGTATAAAATATATGTCTTCACCCTTTATACTAAAACTGTAGGGGATATATCTCCTCCGCGTGGAGTGAGAGCAGCAATGGAAATGCAAGCTGAAGCAGAACGCAAAAGGAGAGCTCAAGTCCTGGAGTCTGAAGGTAATGGATGTTTTTTCCTGCTCTCCGTATTGGTTAGTTTGAATGTAGTCACTTGTGGTTTGAGGAAGTTAAATTTTTACATTGGAGCATGGCAATCTTTATTATTCTGCATGCTGGCTAATCATTTTGTAGAGTATCTAATATAATTCATAAAATTAAAGATAAACACTGACTAAACACTGAGACAAAAGGCTGATGCCAGCTTAACTGATGCATCCTTATACAACTCTTCCTATTGTTTAAAAAAAAAAAATCTTTTCATATGAGCTACCACGAGGAGGTTCACATTCACCGCCGTCTCATACAAATTAGTGAGTGGCCAAACTAACGAAATCAAATGCTGGCTCTGTGCCTAGCAGTCATCCAGAAATTCAGTTGGATTGAGTTCAAGTATAATATCTTGTTTAATAATTGCAAAATTATTTCTTTAAAAAACTAACATAGTTGTTATGATATTATTTTCTAGCAATTAGGATTAGCATGTAAATAGTAACCCCATAAGTGATTGATTGCAAGGATCTGAGGGAACATTTTCTGCTGTTACATCTGTTTACACTTAAAATGGCCTAAGATACAATCAAACGACACACAAATCCTCCCTCCTTTCATATTAATGTATTGTTTAATAGTTATTATGGACAGTGTAAAAAATAGAAACCATTTTGACCTCAATGCAATATTTACCGTCTAAATGAGGCTAGTAAAAATATAAGGTAATAATATAGACTCTACTGGAAAGTAGATGCCAATTTTGGACACTCTAAATAGAGAATGAAAACAATCAAATGGAGAAAGCAGTTTTATGGTTTGTTTCTTGATACCTAGCATTTAGCAAGTGAATGTATCTACCAAGAAGATGCTCATCCCAAATTTTCCCTTGATAAAGCCCCGTATAAACAACAAAAAATGTTTGAATGCATTATTGTTGTTAAATCATGAAGTTTTACAGCATTTCTTTAAACTTCTCAAGGATGAATATATTACATTTTACAGCCTGGTTTTTAAATATGCTCGAGAAATTCCAAGAGATTGCATAATTATCTTTCTCATCTGTTCATTGGATTGATGTGCTGTTTCATATAACAGGAGATAGGCAGGCAAACATCAATATTGCAGATGGAAAGAAGAGTTCGGTGATCCTTCAGTCAGAAGCTGCAAAATTGGACCAGGTTAATCGTGCTCAAGGTTAGTTACGTGTTTGAAATAATCAAATTAGGCCTCTGTTTTCCTCCTCCGCGAGCAGAAGAAGATTGTCTTGAATGGGTGGATGAAGTATACATCAAATTTGCTCTGTATTCAACTTCAAAAGTTTTATAAGGAAAAAAGCTCAATCTACAGATATTTTACTGCTTATTCTTATTATAAGATCTGCCATTCATTTTAACCATCTTTAAACAGGAGAAGCAGAAGCAATTCTTGCTAAAGCTCAAGCTACTGCAAAAGGAATTACCTTGGTGTCACAAGCCCTTAAAGAAAACGGAGGTGTGGAGGTGAGGTTATTCAATTTTCCTTCGTATGTTCTTTCTTAACATCTTCCTATGTTGAAGCAGGTTATTTTGTTCTGTGTGGCTTATATGAATTAAAAAAAATTTAAAAATAATGTTTATATATTTCACAAATATAATTGTTTGGCTGATGAGGAAAATGCAACTTCTGTATCATTTGATTTGCAGGCAGCTAGTTTAAGAATTGCTGAGCAATATCTTCAGGCGTTCAGTATGATTGCAAAGAAGGTAAAGCCCAGAAGATCGTGATTTTATATTTTGATTACGAGGCTCGGACTTCTACTGAATTTCCTTGTTTCTGTACATTTTCTATTCCGTTTCATTCATGTAGAGCACAACTATGTTGCTTCCTGCAAGTGCTTCCAATCCTGCAAATATGATGGCTCAAGCTCTCAGTATATACAAGAACTTAATTGGCAACAGTTCTGGCAATGGGCTTCCTGATATTCCCGGGGCTGAATCAATGGACAACAACACTCCATCTGGAGAATCTCGTGACGAGAAGCACACAAGCGTTGAATCAGTTTTCTCACTGCAAAGCCCGAAGAAGGATAATTAGGTAATTGCTACATCTAGACAAGATATTTCTCCGAAGGATATAGAAAACTGTTACTGAAGAGATAGACATTCAAGTCATGCTAGCCTATTCTATTTTGTGTCGAGTTGGGAATGCATTCTTATTTGTTTTAGTACATTTACTTTTTGAAGTGGCCCGTTAAAATTTAGAAAATTTTAAAAATTTCGTAAGTAATGGCAAATGTGACATTCTTTATCTTGCTGGTTGAGCGCAGCAACATTGATAACGATAGCTATTGAGTGTCCGTTCTTTGCTTTCTAAGGTAACAGAAATTAACGTTGTTTAGACTCTAAGCTGAGATGTTTTCTCTGCATTGTATTTTTGTTTTGTCAATGCGAAATCGTGAGATCAAGTGTGGGTCGGCCTGTCTATAGCATTAACTACCAATTTTTCCAACCCTCCACGACGTGATCCGTGCTAGATGCCAAACGTTAAATTGAATCAAAAGATTATGTATAATACTTGAGGTTGAGGTCATGTCCCTTATTCTTAAAGACTACATATTGATAGTGAGATGAAATATCTTCTATATATTAAAAGTGACTATGTAACGGAATTTCTTGTTTTTAACGGAAAAACTAACGGAATTTGTTGTTTTAACGGACTATGTAACGGAATTTCTTGTTTTAAACAGGCAGCTGCACCTTCTTTCAGTGTTTTTATCATAACTTTGTATTCCGATAT